TGTGTGTGTGTGTGTGGCCACTGTCATTTCCGGAACTGCTTTTTGTAATCATGTAGGTATTTTCTGTGTGCCTGTGCTCTTGCTTTGATTCAGAGCTCATAAAGCAAGTTTAGTCCTCGTGATAAATGCATGTTTGTATGAAAGCTATACTGGCAGATTTAAAATCGTCACCAGAAAGGAAATAAATCCAAGAACGTACACATGCACTATTTTTTTTTTTTTTTTTTACATACACACACTGAAAATGAAAATGTGTCATAATATGGAGGTACATACTTTCGGGATTTTTTTGATGTTGAATTGTGATGAGATAGTGAAGTCTGTTTCTTTCTCTCATAACTAACTGTTTTCTTGATTTCATCATTCTTCAACATCTGCGTCTTCTCTCATGCAGCTCCTCTTCCACCCCTTCTTAGTCTTACACTCTGACCTTCTGTCCTTGATTCCTTTCTCCTGTTCATTGCTCTAAGTTTTCTCAGATCCACCCTAGTTGTTTTGCTGACGTCCCATGTTGTTTTCTTCTTTTCTCTTTCCATCCAGATCCTGTACCTGATGATAAAGGTAATTTGGGTTTGGTGATTCTACTGGTTTTGTTCTCCGTGGTCATCCTCACCACCATTCTTTCCCTCATCTTTGTCGTGTGGTAAGACACAAACACACATATTCCACATCCACAGGCCACAGCTGTGCGGTCTGGTCTCTGAGAGTTGTTTGAAAAGCCTGGCATTTTTTAAATATTTTGCTGGTGTTCACGTGTTATATTCCCAGGGTGAAGCAGAGGCGGCACGACCATATGACCAAACAAGAACTCACTTCTATGGTTAAGATGAAGACCATGCCAATCTAATGTGAGACACACACGTACAACCAGCATTTTCTGTCATGTTTAATTTTCCTTTTATTTTTGTCTCATTGCACATAATGTTGTAAACATGTTCTCATCGATGGCCATATGGGTGTTTGTTTTGCTTATCTAGCAGATAGTTTTAGATCTCTGTGCAGGGCACAGACCGCAGTGACACTAATTAAAATCCTGATCAAGTGTAGTGTCTTTCATATTTATATGGCTACCACAAAATGCCATCAGAAGAGATCCAAGCTAGTGAGAAGAGTATAGCAAAGCTCTGCCTTTGTAAAAGCTGAAATGTTTCAAAGTGTTGCTATAAACAACTTTCAGATAGCCAGCCAACTATAATCACATGTGCGCACAGATTATAACCTTGTAAGTATGTCGGCTTGTGTCTCAACCAGCTCTGTTATTTAAATCTTTCAAGGCAGTGCCTAATTACATTATGATTTATACATGTTTTGTAGAGTTGCATTTCCTTTTCCTCCACTCTCCTTCATGCCTACTCTTTTCTATGACCTCTGTTCCCACATTTTATTTCAACTTGCATTGCTTCCTCTCTTCTTCTCTTCTCTCTCAGGTTGATTTCAAGTATCCTCTCCTCATCAGACCATTCTAGGGCTCCACCCAAGAGTCAGCAGTTAACTACAGTAACCACAATGCCTCAGTCAAAGTCCATTCAGGATCAAGGACAATCTACAAGGAATTCTCCAGAGTTAGGGTAAACTTACCCAGTAAAGAAAGCGGACTCGAGGGTAAGTACTGGACTTATTCCATGGTCACGTCTAATGGCACTACCCATAGTGCATCAGCGGACTCCACTTACTGTCCATGGCAACAGAGGAAACAGACCCTACTCTGTTACTCTGAGGTTACTCCTCAGCAAACTATGAGCAAGACTGTGCTAGGACATTTGAGTTCACAACCAATGCTGCTTCAGATGGACTGACTCCTCAACCTGTTTGGAGAGGGGTATCAATATTTTTACTGTTTAACTTTTAAGCAAGTAGGGACAGGAAGTGCAGCTGCCATACAGGAGAACATACGCTTTTCTGTGAGAAGTTTTTTTTTTTTTTTTTTTCCTGGGACAACCTGTCTCTCTTCTTCCACCCAGAACTCTTCACTTTTTTATTTTTATTTTTTTGAGAGTGATTGTTTTTACATCAACTGACCGACTGACTCACTGTTGTGAAGGAAACATTATTCTCTGTGTTCTTCTGATGCCAAAGCAGCATCTGCGGGCATTAAGGTGTCAGCTGAGGGACAACAGCCAATAACAATTGGCTCCTGACATAAAGGATGGACATGGAGAATAAGGTCCATGGTAGGTGGGATGGGCTATTTAGACTTTTTTTTTTTTTTTTTAGCATATGACAAGTGATTTTAAATTGCATGATATGTTTGTTCTGTTCCTTTTGTAATGCCTCTTTCTGTCCATCCATCCACTGTTCCTGATTATGTGTCAAGAAAGACATGAATAGAGAAGTAAGAAAAGAGATACTGGCCTTTCACAAACCACCAGCATTATGATAGCAAAAGAATATCAAACTGCTCCAAATGTCCCTAATAACTTGTTTTTCAAGTCAGGTTTTATAAAGAAATGCTGACATATACTGTACATGTCCTCATGTTCAGACTAAACAATGTGTGTCCGTTAGGGATCAACATCAAACCATGTTAAGATAAATCCACTGTTGTATTATCAATTAATGTGGACTATTTTTTGGTTAACTGAATGATTATTTAGTCAAAACAAGTCCACTAATGAATTTGACTGCCTGATCATTTCATCACTGCCATTACTACATTAAAGAATAACTCATTCAGGTTATTACCTAAAGATAAGCGACACCAGGTAACGGTAAGATCATGTGGTCACACAGTGCCTAGAGAAACCTTTCTAACAGCAGTTCATAGACGTTTTCCTATGTTACTAACTTGTTTTTGTAGAGATTTTACCATAAATCTGTTACACAAAATATTGTTACTAACAATAAAAAAAGGTTGTAGATTAAAGATAGAAATGCTTTATAACAAAATGATTTTATTTTGAAATTACTGTATGAGAGGACAAAGCTAACCAGCTAAATGGTTTTTTAAGCACTTTGTCACATGGGAAATAATCATTTAACCTAAAAAAAAACAAACAATGTAAACCACAATTAAAGAACAAAAAAATACATGTCACTTGGTTTACACTACAGTGAATTAGAATGAATGTTTAGGAGGATGTTTTAGTATGGTGATACTTTACATTTCTGAGTAAAGTTTAGTAGGATTGTGGGCATTGACACAAGTCAGCCACAGGAACGATAGTCATGGGCAGCTGGAGTTGGTGTAGCTGAACACAGTGATGTACTAGTCTCTTGTTTTACCAGGCTCTTATTTTACCAGCCAGCCAGCTGGTCAGTTATCCCATAAATGCTGAGTTTATGAAGCTGAATGGGAGAGCATGTTGGCTGGTGGGCATGCACGTGAGATGAGTACGAACATAACAACTTGAGCGATTCTCGCTCACTGTACTTGTATCACATCCCGCCAACTCATGGAAAATGAATGATTTCTGGGTAGCTAGTGCGTAGTGAATGAAAAGCCCCAAATACCTCTCTGGGTCTCTTCTGCTTTGACACCTGCTCCTACCGGCTAACTTTCTGCCACAGATGGAAGTAAGAAGCTTTACTGCTTGAGAGGGCAGCTCGCATTACATTTCTTTCTATCTGTTTGTCTGGTGGTTATATTGTGTTGATCCAAAGTTGTGTATTTCCAAATGATGGACTGAGTGATTGGCTGACCGCGTATCAAAAACTCGAGGTGCATCTAAGTCAAACTTTTTCCAGTTTGACTGTCTGTTCTTGCAAGCTAGTTCAACATATTATGCATGGATCCAGTTGAAGCTTTTTTGTGTATTATTGCATATCACACTTAAAAAAAATCAACATATGTATAAGTGATGTTTATATGTTGAGATGACTTATCTCTGGGAAGGTTTCACAGACATGGATTAACTCAGTAGTCTTGTGTTATTTGTTAATGGACACATTAGCAGCTAATAGTAATTTTATAGTGCATTATTTTATTTTATTTTTTTTTTTATCCAATTCACAGGAACCTCCAAATATTGTGAAACGGTTTGTGGTTTGATTTTTATTTATACATTGCACTTAAATGCTCCAAATTAAATGCCAAGAGTCAATACTTAAACTCATTTGACAAAGTGGAAAATCATCCAATTTTCTCACCTTTGAGATTTGTGCAGAATTCGTCATTTCAGATAATTTTGCAATGTAAAATCCTTAAGTGGCTGAAGTTCGATTCCTACTGGGAACTAATGGGTATTGATCCATGTCTGAAAATCCATCCCAGCATTGTGTATTTGTCTTTCCTCCCAGTTATATGAAGCTGTGTTACTGTACAATTACTGTATGGACAGTGTGGTTACTGAATTAGTTTTCATCCATTGTGCTTTTAGTGTTCACTTTCATTTATTTCGTAATTTAGCTCCTTTTATTTTATTTTGTTTTATTTTATTCAAAAGTTTTTGAATACACACAGCAACATTCACACAAAAAAGTTTAATTTTCTAAGTTATATTTGACTGAAAGCTGATCTTTTATGCTGGGGTACATAGTATTTGGTATGTTTTGGATATCAGATGCTACAAAAGGATAGGATATCTTACCTTTGAAACGTTCATTAATTCATTTAAACCACATCTATTGGGTGTAATGGATGTACCAGTAATGAGTGAATGTATGTTTGTTTTTTTTATCATAATATTAATATTAACATGTCATGTCATGACTGTTATGCCAGTAATTTCCTTTAATGCTCATCAGTTTTAAAAGACATGCATGTTAATTTTCTCCATGCTGTTCTAGTCATTTGAGGTCTAGTTGAAATGATATCACATCACGATTATCAGGCCTGCTCAGTCATTGTAACTTTCACACTGTACATGCTGCTTTATAAAGCAGAGCAACACAAATATAGTAAATATGAAAATCCAGAGTGCTATAACTGAAATAAGAGGAGCCATCTTTTCTTTTCATAACTGCTGGGTTTCACAGCAAATTGAGTGAAAATTTTTTTTCCCCCAATCTCAGAAAATATATTTTTATTACGCATTCTTCAAAATTTTAAATGTTATAAACTGTCCATCAGATTGAATTTTACATGGGCAAAGTGCAGTACCAGGGGGACTCCATTATGTTTGTTTTCTTCTTTGTCGAATGCCTCCTCTGCTGTTTTCTTTGGTTTTGTGGGTATTCTGTCTTTCCTTGTTCCTCTGTGTTATGTGATAGCAGATAGAGCCTGTTGATTTTAGTTCTTAAAACACAAATTACACTCAGGCACCCATTGTCAGAATTTCAGATGTACATAGTCTTTTTTTTTTTTTTATGTGTACAATAGATATAAGCTGTTTTTTTCCCGTCTGTCTCTGTTTCTGTGAAATAAATACTATTTTATCACACATGGTTTACAAGTGTTTCTAACATTTTCAGATTTTTTTCCACCCCTTAATCAAAATGTTGGTGACAGTTTTTGGTTGGTTGCAAAGTTGATGTTGAAACTTAACTTGTCTTGTGCCAAAAAATCTATCTATGAGCCAGTGGGGGAGGTGACTAACAGTCTTTTTCTTATGTTGAAATTGATTGTGCCTGTGATTCTTAAAAATGCTCCAAATTTCACTCAAAGCATGTTGCTTCTTGCAGCCACTTTTAAAAAGTTTCCATTATCTGACCATGACAGTGTCCAATGAATCCCAAGTGCTCAAGCTGGCTTTTGCTGTCTTTGTGAAAAGATGCCTGGAACACCTGGAAGAAAATTGCCTTTTCTTCTGGCGCTCAGGTCCATGAGGGATCATTCATGTGTGTGCAACCACCTAATCTCCTCTTGGTGAGGACATTAAGAGAATTATTGAGAAACACTGGGAGATTCTTTTTATAGATCCAGTTTGTAAAGTACTGTTCTCTAACGCTCCTCTTTTCTCTTATTACAGAGCAAGGAATGTAATTGTACATGCAGATTTTTCTGCTGCCAACCAGAGCAATTTGAACAGAATGACCGGCTTCTTTCCCTGTCACAACTGGCATGTGAGATTTCTAGGAAAACATAAAAGGCACATCACAGGTAAAACTTAGAACATCAAAGTGTTTCATATCTGTGTCTATATTGTGAAAACAAGCACATCTGTCAAAATGTGCAGTTTGGAGCACAGAAGTACTGGCGTACAGATATTTTCCAAGAGAACACTACTTCCAGGTCTTAATGAGGAAGTATCCTTGTTTTTTCTGACTGTGTATTCCTTCTGATGGCTGATATTGTGGTTATGTACAGTATACTGTATTTCTATGGGGGCATAGTGGAGCTACAGCTTCACTGATACTCTTCATGCAGGTTGTGTGATCAGACCTTAGTGGCTAATGAGTTCATGTGAAAGACCTTGCGTTCTTGGCTTTCTTTGCCCTGATTGGTCTTTGATAGCCTGTGTCCATTTATGTCTAGAAGTACTCGGTCTGGAAGCCGTGCTGGCGATGATGGGCCTTTGAAACGTTCACATTTTTATTCACTTTATTAGATGTGTGACAAATGATATTTATTTTTGGGCACCTAAAGAGCCTTTGTTTTTTTCCTTTTGCATATGTGGAACATGTTTTTGACTATACACACCTGACATTTTTGAAAGGCCTAGAAATAAAAGCACAGGCCCTGCAACGGTTTTTGATTTTAGGAGCAATGGTTCAGCATAAAGCCTGATATAAGTATTGTCAGAAAATGTACTTAAACTATAGAGTAAAAGGACTCGTTCTGCAGAATAGATTTCGTTAATACTGATGTATGAGTGTGTATGTGGCATTTGTTGTAGCTGCTAAAGGTGGAACTAGTTTCAACAAATTTATCTAGTTAGTGGTTCCTAATCTATTGGCTGAAACTCAAGACTAAGAGGTTGTGAAATGATTCATGGGACATATTTTTTTCTCTGATCTCGGTTTTGAATGTTAGATATTAGGTAACTTTAGATATTGGATAATTTTACCTATTTGGGCCCCAGTGATTTAAATGAAACAATCTGAGAAGTTTAGTAATTCCAACAAAGTAACATTTCTCAAGCGACCTAAACATTTGAAATGAACCATGCCATCATTTTTAAGATGCCTTAACCTGCACTGTTAACAGTTGTCAATAACATAAGTTTACAGCTGAAAGCAACCAGATGACGTGGTTTGGGGACAATATCACGTTCAGTTCATGCTTCTTATAGGCCTATATGTGACATTCTCTAGTCTCTTTTTTTGTGCAGTAATCTTCATATTTAATTTGACAGTGCATACCAAACTTATATTTGTCACCTGTAATTACTGTACCGGTGTTGGTTTCATAGCACAATCAAATGTTTGTCTCTACTGTAGATGGTGTCAGTGAAGTCCCCTAACCCAGCTTTCTACTGTGGATTCATGTACTGAGGTTACCTGTGTCTCCAGCTGCATAACGGAAGGAAGAAATGGTGAGTTGAGAAAGACCCATGATGTTGACAGCATGAGTTTTTAAGGTTATTTAAAATCACTCACTATACTTAAGTATAGCCTACTTAAAGAAGAAATCCTCAACCATTTATTTAAACAATGAATGTATTGATACGTGTAGTGTATACAGGACCTTCAGATAAAAATACTACATGCACATTAAGCCTTGTTACTATCTATACTTTATTACTACTAAAAACCAAGCTCTGCCATAAAACATCATAAAAAAGAAGACATACTTCAAACTCAGTGTGCAAAATTCAACATGTCAACTTAATAAAGCTCACATTGTAAACATAAGCAGTAGCAGATGGTGTTTTACTGAAAATTACACTGGCAGCTAAAGTAGGACAGTAGCCACCATGTACTTTCCTCAGACAGGCACCAACCTCTGTAAAGAAATAAAAATAATTATACAAATAACCTAAAAATAGTCACATTTATCAGGACCTCTATAAATAAATAAAATAAAAACATTGTCATCTCTACCAAAAAACCCTACAACGCCCAGTGTAATTTAAGCTGTTTAAACCCAATTGGCACCAAATTTAATCTTCATTTTAATCTTCTTTCAAATAATCATAATGCCACTTTAACACAAAGATGAATTAGTGAGTGAAAACCAATTGTGAAGCCATACAGCTCACTGCCGCCACCTAGTGGACAACAGGCATAACTAGAACTGTATTCACAAAGCACTAGTACCAATAGCAGGAAAGGAAAGGAAAGGAGAAACACATCTAAAGTTAATGAACATCTGAGGCTGACATTTGAGAGTGCTGTGATTGAATGTTTTCAGCATAAACTAAACCATGTCTGAGCTCAAAAGTTAGAACCAGACCATCTCTTTAATAGCGAAAGCATAGCAGTTGGATTCAAATAAAACAAGTCTCTAAAATCGATTAAACCAGTTTTATCACAATGTATTATAATGCATTATTTAAAACAGTATTGACAATACTGTAAAGGAATGTGTGAGATTACATCTAAAATCGACTTTGCCTCTAAATGTTCTGTAGCTTAGTGAATTCTATTATTAATATAAGGAACCATAACAATAAAAAGTCCATAACTTCTGAAGATCCATGGTCTAACCACTGAAAAGCCAAATGGGAAGTTCAGCATGTACACTGTGCTTTACACTATGAATCAGTCGGTTACATAACAAAAACCTGCAGTGGAACCATATACATCAAATTAATGCAGATATTACACTCCCCCTTTTTATATCTCTGTAAAGTACTTACTGATAATATTAATGGTAATTAACATGTTATTTTACAGTTTATTCCCTTAAATAGATACCCAGCATCTTTACAATCTCATTTCCATTTACCTTTCTATGGTTAACATTAAACAGAGGTCACTTGAGACGCCCAAAATGACATTTAAAATGCAAACTCAGTCCTTTTTATTTTTGGCTTGTGCTGTAACAACTGAACCACAAGTGTAAAAGACCACACAGTGAGTTCCTGATTGAAACGATCTAGTATCTCCTAAAAGTAGAAAAGACTTTCCAATTTTAATTGCACAGCCAAATAACAGTGGTAACATACTGTACTGTCGGATGCACTAAGCATGAAAGTGGCGCTGCTAACATAATGTCAGTGTCCTATAGCCTGTGTTCTTAGGATAAGGCTGGACAGTCCTAGAGAAGGTGGAAAGCAGTCAGGGCAAACAAATGATGTGAACACTTGCATTTTCAGGTCAGAGGTCAGGTCTCAAGTCTGTTGTTAGGATTTGGGTAAAGGGACCGAGATTGAAAGAGCAGACAAACTTGTGTATAATATGTCAAAGTAGTTAAATGGTCCCAAAATAACTAAGACAGTTACTGGAACTCAGCATTCTGAATACACTACCATTCAAACGTTTGAAATCACCTCCATTTCTTCACTTTTCAACATTTAAGCAATTCAAGTCCAGTCACAGCTAAGAAGTAAAACTGCTTCAAGGCAGTAGTTTCAGGTGATGGAATGGTCAGCACATTGTCCAGACTTTCCAGATGTAAAATCAACCTGAAGCGCAACACACTTGCGGGAACTGTTAAGTTACATTACAGGTGACCCCAAACCTTCCAACAGTAGTGTGCTTGTCCATGTTACCATTAAAAGTGATTGACTGGCATTGATTTCATTGGAATGTTCCTCAAACAGCTAATTTGTTACTTTACAGAGATTTCCATCTTTGGAAACTAACGTTTTTAGATTCTGTCTTCACCTACACTTAAAATACATTTTATATTGATCATTTTTATCAAGTGTCATTTCCACAAATACAACCTAAAATACTGGAAAAAATACACTGCCCAGCCACTTTATTAGGTACAACTGTACAATTGTATGCAATTTAGTGCAGCACTTCTGCTGCCTTAACATCTGTGTTGATGAAGCTCAATGTTTCAGTTTTTGGTGAAATTGTCATAAATGTATACATTCAATTCTATATTTATTACTGAGGTCATAGTTAAAGGTCTCAATATTTTTGTCCCCCCCAGCTACATACATGAGGGTTGGGATATAATGTAGTCCAGTACACCACCACCTGTAACTATGACCTTAATAATAAACACAGACTTGAATCAAGTGGCCAAGCAGTGTATTTTTCCAGTATTTTAGGTTGTGTTGTCATTCAGTCACAGTGTGAATGAGTAAAATTATGGTTTCTCTGTTCCCAGGTACAGCATTAAACCATAGTAAGAGTTGTTTTAAATAGCTAAGGACATCTTTGCCCAGAGGCCTCCATACCATACCAGCGTTAGATGTCGACGGTAAGTCAGTGGCTTCTAGACGTCGATGGCTACCCCGTGTTTGGTGGAGATCACATCCCTAGTTCCTGTGAGATACATGAGCACTGAACACAGGTGAGGAAGTGTCGCCGTGGTGCTCACATACAGCCAGTAGGGGATTGGTGCTGTGTTACCGAACGGGCACATCCACAGGCCGTGGCGTACAGCATCCCGGACGTGGTGCGTTGCCATGGAAATGAAAAGCATCCACGGCAAGGAGCACCAAGCATCTTTTAGGCGTCCAATCCACATGAGGAAGCGGAGGGAGAGACAGAGCACGGGGATGAGCGAGGAACAGTGCAGAGGAGGACGCTGAGGGAGAGACACAGCAGCCTGGAAACAAAGTGGCAGAGGGAGTCACTGGGGAAGTGTTTGGCTAAATGTTCAGAAAGATAATATTCAACTATCTACTATAATGTTACTGATGCCAAGTGTTGATGATGCAAAACATCTGCAGAAGTGGATAGTTGTTGTCTTTCCAGTAGACTTTTAAAAACACCTGTTCCCCAGACAATGATCAAGTGATGCTTATCTACACTCAGTTGGCAGTTTATTAGGTACACCTAGCTAAAACTAATACAGACTATTACAATGGCCGTGCAGTAAAGCTTCCTAAATGAAGGTGACAATGTTCAGAGAAGTCTTGAATCAGCTGTGATTATTATGAAAGATCATTTGTGCAGCTCTGACATGTACTGTGTTACAGAGCGGTTTCTGCTGTCGTGCCAGGCCTCACTGACATGGGGTGAAGAAAATAAATAAAATACAGGTCAACAGCAGCACAAACTGCACATACAGCTGAATCAACATCTTCCCAGAAGAATGAACACAATCCAAACATTATCACCTTCATAAAGGAGGATTTACCACAGGACTGTTAGTAAACTGCATTAGTTTTTCGCTACGTGTACCCACTAAACCGCCAACTGAGTGTACATACTATCACCAAGAGTTCGCATTCATAGGATTGGGACCCATACAGACGCATTTTCTTCCAAATATCAATTCTCTACTCGCACATAAATGGCTTAAAATAAGATACTGTATATACATTGCTGGTCTGTAAAAAGCATGGTTTCCACCTTCCCCACCTTGAACTCACCTACCACCTTTGAGCACTATACAAGAAATAGGCAGAGGTCAATGAACAGGAATGTGTCTTTTGATATGACATTTTTAGAAGAGACTGGTTGAAAATAATACTCAAATGGTCCCTATTAAAAAAAATATTTACAGTAAATGTACAGTCACTGGAAAAAATGCCAGGTAATACTGGGCTTCTGAGCCTTCCAGAATGTATCAGTATGTATATTTTATCAAATCCAGTAATGTACTGTAATATCAGATTACATTCATTCTTAAGCCCTCTGATAATACGCTTTAGTGCATTGGCACAAACCTACAAGGTCCCTCAGATCTTCAAGCCAGTTTCTTTTAGAGGTTCCAAGGGCCAGATATAAAATTTTACTGCTTTTACTGTTGCAGCCCCTAAATTGTGGAATAGTCTGCCTTTTAATGATAGGTCAACTACCGACCTCAGTACTTTTAAATCATTGCTTTTAAATCTTGGCTTGGCTTTAATGCACAGTAGGGCTTGATGCATTCCTTTTAATTTATGGAACGTATGTTAACTGTGTGTCTGTGTTATTGTGCTGTTTTATTTTTGTTTGTACTGATCTTATTTACTCTATTTTAGTCATTTAATGTGTTTTTATTCTGCCATGTAAAGTACTTTGGTCATCTGGATGTTGTTTCTAAAGTGCTCTATAAATAAATTTGATTTGATACGCTTTCAAAAATTTGGATTGCATTAGATAATTGTAGCCAATAGTGATGTACTGAGCATTTTTCCTCTCAGACATCTCACATTTCTGTACTTTTTTTAAAATTACTTTTCAAACAACTGTTAACTGTTTTAGAAATAATTTAAGTGGCCATTCTCTAGACACCCAATCAGCTTCTAGTAGAAATTGTGTTTGTACACAAATTGTCTGACAGTGATGATGCTGCTTGTGCTGTATTCAGACCACTGATAATTCTAGCACACAGACCTGACTATAGAGAAAGCCATTCATCTTGAAAAAGGTGGATATGCCCAATCTCCAAAATACTGGGATGCTGTGCGAACTGAATAAAAACTAAGTTAAATGTTTTGGAAACTCCCTTTGGCCCATATTAATTTGGTAACTGTACACATATCTAATGTTCAATTTAATAAAGTCAATTTTGGCTCAGATGAGCTTATTCTGAATTTGGTGCCAGCAACACATTCCAAAAATAAAATCTGGGACAGGGGCAACAGAGACTGGAAAAGGTATGTAAAGGCTTAAAAAAAAAAAAGAAAACATAAACACACCCTTGGTATAACAACTATTATACTTTGGTTAATTGGTAACAGGTCAGCATCATGACTGGGTATAAAAGAGTATCCCACACAAACCAAGTCCTTTAGCAACAAGGACGGGGAGAGGTTCACCTCACCGCGTGACAAAGAATTTTACATGAAATTGCAGAGATTTGGGGGTTATCATATAAGGTACATAATATATATAATAAAAGATTCTGAGAGTCTGGAGAAATCTAAGTAAGGGACAAGGCAAAAAACTACTACTGATAGGCTGAGATCTTTTGGCCTGTGAGCTCAGCAACAGTTTACATTGCACCCACACCTGCAAGTTACAGCTTTACCATGCAAAGGAAAACTTACTTAAACAAGATCCAGACACACTGCCACCTTCCCTAAACTCAAGCTTATTTAAGATGAAACCAAGTGGAAAACTGTCCTGTGGTCCGACAAGCTAAAATCTGAAATTGTTTTTAGAAAACATCAACATCGCATCCTCTGGGCTAAAGAGGAGAGGAAGCATCTGGCTTGTTATCAGTGCACAGTTAAAAAGCCAGCATCTGTCATGTCATGATGGCATGAGGGTGCATTAGTGCACAAAGCATGGGTAACTTGCACATCTGTGAAGACACCATGAATGCTGAACCATATATACAGGCACTGGAGCAACAGGTTGCCAACTAATCCTTTTTGAGTGAAGGCTTTGTTTATTTCAGCAAGACAATGCCAAACCACACTCTGCACGTATTACAACAGCATGGCTACATAACAAGAGTCTGGGTGCTAAACTGGCCTGTCTGCAGTCCAGATCTGGTGCATTATAAAGTGAGAAATATGAGAAAGGAGGCCACAAACTGTTGAGTATCTGAAATCCTATATCAAGCAGAAATAGGAAAACATTTTGCTTTCAAAACTAAAGCTACTGGTCTCCTCAATTCCCAAACACGTGCAGAGTTGTTAAAAGAAAAGGTGATGCAACACAGTGGTAAACATGCCCCTGTCCTTTTTTGAAGCCTGTTGCTGGCATCAAATTTAAAATGAGCAGATATTTTTTTGATGAAAAAAAAAACAACAAAACATTTGATGTTTTCTTGTAGTACATATTTTCAATGTCCATGTCATTTGATTTATTTACAATTTAAACAGCATCCTAAGTTTTTTTGCAGTTGGGGTTGTAGTTATTCACTTGGGTAGACTGTTTGCACACAATATAGATTTGACTAGGTTTACAAAATATGCAGAAGTGCCTGAGTAAAGGTGCACGTCTTACCTTCAGTGACAGCGATCCAGCCATATAGAAGTGGTCCAGGTCTATGACTGATGCCAGAAGACCAGCCAGCAGCACCTCATACACATCACTCTTTTTCCTCAGTCCAATAACAACTGCCCATGACCACAGCCCTACTAATCCATGTGTAGCGTTGTCCAAGGCAGCACGCAGCCACAGGTGGTTCTGGATGACTGACAGCTGGAGGGAGTGATCCGCCACTACACAAAACATACCGAGTCCTGCAGATGCCAGCAGGGAGGCGGAGCTGAATGTCTGTAGGAGGGCCTGAGCCTTCTCTGTTTCCACAGCCAGACTGAGAGGTACAGAAGCGCGGTCCCCCCCAAGGCCCGCCCCCAATAACGGGGAAGAGGGGGAGGAGTCAAGTTTGGAGTAGAATCCTTGCATGGTGGCAGAAGGCTGGGTGGGGCTAATTGCTGCTGAAGGTCAGCAAGATTCAGGCACACTGGAGAGAGAAGGAAGGAGAGGGATTAATGAATGGAATGAAAGGAGAAAAAGTGGGCGAGACTTGTGGAGGCATGGGCAAGTTGTGGGGACAAAAAATGAAAGGTAGGTGAGAGAGGGACACCAAACAAAACACTACTTTGTGCACTATATTAATACTCTACCTCATACATGGCTGTCTTACAAAATAATCCTTTGTGACAGAAATAAAGTGCTGGGAAGAGTTTTCAGTATAAAATGTTTTATTAGTAGTATAAAAAGGTTTAGTGTAATTATCTACGGTGGCCGACACGGTCACAACACATGCAAAAGACACAACACATGCAAGACACAAACGCGGTATTGAACAAAACACATGCAAACGGAAAACGCTGCATTAATCAAAAAAACACATGCAAAGACAGAAACGCGGCATTATACAAAACACATGCAAAAGGAAAACGCTGCATAAACCAAAAAACACATGCAAAAGGAAAACGCTGCATTAACTGAAAACACATGCAAAAGGAAAACGCTGCATTAACCGGAAAACACATGCAAAAGGAAAAC